CGCATTTCTGGTTCTGGCTCTGGTATTTTTGCAAGCAGTCACTTGTGCTTAATTTATTGACAGCAAGTGTCAATACAATGAGGTCTACTGTCCAGAAAAAATAACACACTGTGATTCGTTGTGTTTAGCAGGCAGATCTCTCTCTGATATGATCAACTCTTTTTAGTCTACAGCATGGAATTCCATGTCTAGACACACTGTGTCAGCACAAGCTGTGTCAGCACCAAGCTCTCCTGATCCTGTTCCCAGAATTAACCCAATTGAGCTGAGTGCACAACAAATCTACACTAGGATCTGACCTTGGACCAGTGGTGAGATATAACCTTGAACCAGTGGTGAGATCGGACCTTGGTCCGGTGGTGAGGTCTGACCTTAAGCCAGGGATGAGACCTGACCTTGAATCAGTGGTGAGACCTGGCTTTGGGCAGTAGTAAGATCTGACTTTGGACCAGTGGTGAGATCTGACTTTGGACCAGTGGTGAGATCTGACCTTGGACCAGGGGTGATATCTGACCTTGGACCAGTGGCGAGATCTGGCTTTGGACCAGTGGCGAGATCTGACCTTGGACCAGGGGTGATATCTGACCTTGGACCAGTGGTGAGATCTGACCTTGGACCAGTGGTGAGATCTGACCTTGGACCAGTTGTGAGATCTGACCTTGGCCCGGTGGTGAGATATGACTTTGGACCAGTGGTGATATCTGACTTTGGGCCAGTGGTGATATCTGACTTTGGGCCAATGGTGAGATTCGACCTTGGACCAGTGGTGAGATCCGACTTTGGGCCAGTAGTGAGATCTGACCTTGGACCAGTGGTGAGACCTGGCTTTGAGCAGTGGTAAGATCTGACTTTGGACCAGTGGTGATATCTGACTTTGGGCCAGTCGTGATATCTGACTTTGGGCCAGTGGTGAGATCCGACTTTGATCCAGTGGTGAGATCCGACTTTGGGCCAGTGGTGAGATCCGACCTTGGACCAGTGGTGAGATCTGACTTTGGGCCAGTCGTGATATCTGACTTTGGGCCAGTCGTGATATCTGACTTTGGGCCAGTGGTGAGATCCGACCTTGGACCAGTGGTGATATCTGACTTTGGGCCAGTCGTGATATCTGACTTTGGGCCAGTGGTGAGATCTGACCTTGGACCAGTGGTGAGATCCAACTTTGGACCAGTGGTGAGATCTGACCTTGGACCAGGGGTGATATCTGACCTTGGACCAGTGGCGAGATCTGGCTTTGGACCAGTGGTGAGATCTGACCTTGGACCAGGGGTGATATCTGACCTTGGACCAGTGGTGAGATCTGACCTTGGACCAGTTGTGAGATCTGACCTTGGCCCGGTGGTGAGATATGACTTTGGACCAGTGGTGATATCTGACTTTGGGCCAATGGTGAGATTCGACCTTGGACCAGTGGTGAGATCTGACTTTGGGCCAGTAGTGAGATCTGACCT